TAGTTGCTTTTCAATGTGTGATAGCATGCAGTCACTCCCTCACAACTCAGTAAATTAAGTGACAACAATCACATAAGACATCCTGCTTGGGTTTATAAATATTTAAACAGAGAATCTGCTATTTTATTTGACGAGTTAACACATAAAGGACTAGAAAAGCAGAATTTGGGGTGCTGTGGTGCAGCGGGTTAAGCCACTGCTATCCCACATCAGAGTGCCTGAGACTAAGTCCTGCCTCTGACTCTGACCCAGCTTCCTGCTAATATGCCTCGGCGGAAGCAGATGATGGCCCAAGTACTTGGGTTCTTGCCACCTGGATGGAGTTTCTGGCTCCTGGATTCAGCCAGGCACAGCCCCAGTTATCATAGACATTTCAAAAATGAAGCAGCAGATCAAAGTCGTTTTCTCTCTGCCTTTCAAATAAATACTTCTCGAATGCATTTCGAGAAGACAAATGGAAAATTATTCACAATAGAAACAAAGACCACTTAACTTCTTGATGTTCATTCTAAAGACATACAGCTTTGTTGAAGGCTCACTGACTTACAAGGGGGAACAATTTAGGATCTATCATAAGTAAAAAAGCAGAACAGAGGCCGACGCCATGGCTCACTAGGCTAATCCTCCACCTGCGGCGCTGGCACCCCAGGTTCTAGTCCTGGTTGGGGTGCCGGATTCTGTCCCGGTTGCTCCTCTTCCAGGCCAGCTCTCTGCTGTGGCCGGGGAAGGCAGTGGAGGATGGCCTGAGTGCTTGGGCCCTGCACCCGCATGGGAGACCAGGAAGAAGCACCTGGCTCCTGGCTTTGGATAGGCACAGCGTCGACCGTGGCGGCCATTTGGGGGGGTGAACCAACAGAAGGAAGACCTTTGTCTCTCTCACTAACTCTGCCTGTCAAAAAAAAAAAAAAAAGAGAGAGAGAGAGAGTAAGAGAGAGAGAGAGAACCTTCCATCCACTTGTTCACTCCCTAGATGGCCACAATAGCCTGAGCTAGGCCCAAGCCAGGAGTTTCTTCCTGGTCTCCCACGGGGGTGGGGTGCAGAGGCCCAAGCACTTGGGCCATCTTCCACTGCTTTCCCAGGCTCACTCGCAGGGAGCTGGGACAAAAGTGGAGCAGCCAGATGAACTGGTTATGGCAGTCCGGGGCTTAACCAGCGCCTGACCAGCCGCCTGTGGCGTCCAGGTCAAAGCAGGTGACCATGGACACAATGTGTAATTACGGACCCTTAAGCAAGCAAGCAAGCAAAAATCACAAAATCCACGAGGACGCCACCGGTGCGCCTCTGGAGGCGCCCTAGCTGGGCCATCTCCCGATGGGGGCCAGAAAAGTCTGCGTGTGGGTGAAGCCGGTATCCCGGGTCAGCCAGGCGCTCAGGAGGGACAGCTGTGGAGAGGGGTCCGCAAGGAAGGCCGTGGGGATCCCGCCCCCTCAGGAGACCCCAGACCGGGGGAGTCGGGGACTGCACTGAGCCAGCTCAGACACCCGGTCCCTCCACTGGCGAGGTCCTCGGGCCAATTCTGAGCCGGGGCTCTTCAGAATTTGAATTAGGGATGTTCTAACCTTGCCACCCCCTACCCCCACCCCCCAGCCCCAGCCGTGGACGCAGAGGTCTTCGGTGTCCCACGGCCGCTGACGAAACTCTCTCTGTCCCCAAGCAGGGACGCCGTTCTGTGCTCGGCTCTCGATTGCTCGCTCCTGACGGCGGCGGGCGGTGCGCGCGGCGGTTGGGGCTCTGCGCTCGAAGGGTCGAGCCTGGCCCCAGCGACCAGCGGCGCGTGCTCCACAGCGGTTCCCCGCGCCTAAGGCGGGCCGAGGCCGCGGCGGTCGGCGCGGGGATGTCGAGGAGCTCGAAGGTGGTCCTGGGCCTCTCGGTGCTGCTGACTGCAGCCACGGTGGTCGGCGTGCACCTGAAGCAGCGGCAGGACCAGCAGGTCGGTGTCACGTGACCGTGTCTTCCGGGGCCCGCGCGCAGCGGTGGCCCCGGGGCCTCCTGTGGGGGTCTGCCCGCACTGTTCCCCCGCTCCTCCCAGTGTCTGTGCGACCCCCTACGCCTTCTGCCCGGGGCGCTGCGGGTTCCCCGCCGCCCAGAGATCCCGCGGAGCCGGGTCCTGAGCGCTCGCGGGCAGCCTGCAGCGCCGCGGGCCTGTGGCCTCTCCCCCTGGCCGCTGCACGGTAGAAGGCGGGAAAGGGTTTCCCTTCCTTGGGGGCGCCCTCAGCGAGGTGCCGGGCCCTCCCCACCCGCAGGCCGAAGGGTAGGAGTCGACCCTGGTTTGTTTTCAGTGCTAACGATTTCATCCCGCGCTGCTGCGGGCTTCCCCGAGCGCACCCTCCCTGCCTTCGGCCAAGGTAGATGGGGGAGATAATTGCATTTTTTTGTTTGTTTAAATGAACAACTTACTACGGAAGCTGTGGTTTCTGGGGTCGATAGAGACGCCAGCCCCTAGATTTCTTATTTTTGGCGTGTTTATTTCCGGAAATATCCGTCACTGACCGTCTCCTCGGACTCCTCGCCGTTTGTATTTTGTTATTTATGTTGGCAAGCTTTGAACGCTGGTGTGCCAGGGCATCCTGCCGGGCACCCAGGGAATACCCAGATCGGAAGCAGCAGCTCCAGGGTCTATAAATAACTCCCAGTAGTGCTGAGTGGTGCCAGTGGGTCGCTGGTCAGTTTTTAAGTAGCACCTTGACAGGTGACGGGATGGAGCCTCGTTTGTCAAGGGTGGAAAGCGGTGGCCTGCACTGATCAAGGGTAAACAGCCTTCTTGATTTGCTGTCCAGTGCTTTGTACACAGAGATGAGCAAAGTGTTTGATCTCGCTGTTCACCAGCTGTGGGAATCAGAGAAGCAGGCAAGAGGACCCGGGAGATCTTAGAGGTCGGAGCTTAAAATATGTGTGGTTCTGCAGGAGTAGCATTTGGAGCAGAGGCAGCAGACCCGTGGTCCTCCCCCCACCCCCCAAGGAAGAGGACGAGATGGTGATCCCAGAAAACCTGGAGCTGGAGTGTGGTGGTTTGTCAGGTGTAGTTCTGAAGTCAGCAAGGTCAAGGGCAGGAATGGGTTAGAGCGGTTCTCTAATACCACCTGATTTTTATTTTTAAAGCTATTTTTTATTTATTTGAGAGAGTTACAGAGAGAAAGAGGGAGAGACAGAAAGGTCTTCCATCCGCTGGATCACTCCCCAAAGGGCCCAAATGGCCAGAGCTGTGCTGATCTGAAGCCAGGAGCCAGGAGCTTCTTCTGGGTCTTCCACATGGGTTCAGGGGCTCAAGGACTTGGGCCATCTTCCACTGCTTTCCCAGGTCATAGCAGAGAGCTGGATCAGAAGAAGAGCAGCTGGGACTGGAACTGGCGCTCATATGGGATGCCAGTGCTTCAGGCCGGGGCTTTAACCCTCTGTGCCACAGCCCCGGCCCTTGATGACCTTTGTTTAAAAAAATGTTTTTGAAGACTTATTTATTTGGAAGTCAGAGCAGCACAGAGAGAGGGAGAGAGATCTTCCACCCTCTGGTTCACTCCCCAAGAGCCATCGTCCACTGCTTTACCAGGAGCATTAGCAGAGAGCTAGATCATAAGTGAAGCCGGGCCAGCACTGTGGTACAGTGGGTTAAGTAAGCCAGCCACTGCCTGCAGTGCTGGCATCCCATATGGACACCAGTTCGAGTCCTAGATGCTCCACTTCTGATCAGGCTCTCTGCTATGGCCTGGGAAAGCAGTGGAAGATGGCCCAAGTCTTGGTCCCCTGCACCCACATGGGAGACCTGGAAAAAGCTCTTGGCTTCCATCTGGCCCAGCCCTGGCTGTTTCGGCCATTTAGGGAGTGAACCAGTGGATGGAGGATCTCTCTCTCTCCCTCTCTTCCCCCCCCCCCACCTTCTCTCTCTGTAATTCTGCCTTTCAAATAAGTAAATCTTTATATAAAAAAAAATGGAGCAGCTGGGGCTTGAATCAGCACTCTGATGTGGGATGTTGGTGTTGCAAGCAATGCTTAACTTGCCAAGCTGCAACACTGACTTTGGCCTTTTTATTTTATTTTTTTTCTCTGCTAGTAGCATTCCTTTTCCCTCCCTCCTTTTCTCTGTTATATAATTATTAATTTTGTATAATTTTTACCATTTCACTTTTCTGACTAGAAAAGCTGATTCTTGTATTAATTGTTCAGACTAATATTTTTTCTTCTGGTGTTTATTATTCAAGCTAGGATGATTGCTAAGGGAAAAGTAGTTCATAGTATTACTGTAGCAACTCACCAAGTTTTAAATATATCATATATTGGTTAAACTTTTTAAATGCAACATAGTGCCAGTTTTTTCTTTTTTGTTATTCCCACTAAATTTTCTGTACTAGGTCTTCAGGAATTTCTTTAAAAGTGGTACAAAGTCATTTCAGTAATAAAATAGCACACCACCAAATTTATTTGGTGGTTTATTACATTTTACATTTGTACAGAAAGTTAAAATAGTAATTGGGTATCTGTTTTAAGCGTATTTTGGTAACACTGTTATTTGGATTTGAAAGGCACCAGGGTGGGAACACCTGTTCGGGGTGTTACTGAAATCTGTTTCCTACGTTTTTAGAGGCTTCGTGACGGAGTGATCCGAGACATCGAGAGGCAAAATCGGAAAAAAGAAAACATTCGTCTTTTGGGAGAACAGATTATTTTGACTGAGCAACTTGAAGCAGAAAGAGAGAAGATTTTACTGGAAAAAGGCTCTCAGAAAACATGATTTGAAATGACGGTGAACTGTTGGAAGGACAGCGTGCAGTGTGTGTGTGTTGATGGAGAATAGCTTAAGGACCTTTTTTTGGTCATTGTCCTTGTAAACTTATCAAATAGAGGATAATGGATCATATAATCTACAGTGCTGCTGTAAAAATTCCTTCTGTCTGAATGAAGAAGCCGTGGGCGGGTGCCCTCCTGAGGAGCTTCTGTCTCTGTGGGAGCGCATGTCAGCTCAGCGCTCAGAGCGTAGGATTGGCGCTGAGAAGCACTCCTGAACCTGTGAGAAGGAAGGAATGGATAGCAGCATCCACCTGAGTAGTCTGATAAGTCGACACGACGATGAAGCCACGAGGACGTCCACCTCGGAGGGGCTGGAGGAGGGGGAAGTGGAGGGGGAGACGCTCCTGATTGTCGAATCAGAGGATCAGGCATCTGTGGACCTGTCTCATGACCAGAGTGGGGATTCCCTCAACAGCGACGAAGGAGATGTGTCCTGGATGGAGGAGCAGCTGTCCTACTTCTGCGACAAGTGCCAGAAATGGATACCAGCCAGTAAGGAGCTTCTCCATTGCTTTGATTTGTCAATTCCGGTGTGAGGGTTTCTTTTTCCAGGATAGGAAAGAAACATGAATGTAAGATAGACCTAAATGAAAGGATAATTATCATATTATTTAGTTTATTAACCACAAACTTACATAAAACGAAGGTGCTCTTGAATTAATAAAAGTTATTATCAACCTCTTTCACATGGTTAAATTAGTACTCTTAATAGTAAACCAGTAAAAATTGGAAAATTGTAAATCCTGTGTTAATGAATTAGCCACATTTTTCTAACATTTGTGACCAAATCTAATCCCATTGTAGATTTCTTTGTTTTTTGTTTAAAGATTTATTTTATTTTGAAAGAGCTACAGAGAGGGTGGGCTAGCACTGTGGCTCACTTGGTTAATCCTCCGCCTGTGGCACCGGCATCCCATATGGGCATCGGGTTCTAGTCCCAGTTGCTCCTCTTCTAGTCCAGCTCTCTGCTGTGGCCCAGGAAGGCAGTGGAGGATGGCCCAAGTGCTTGGGCCCTGCACCCGCATGGGAGACCAGGAAGAAGCACCTGGTTCCTGGCTTCAGATCAGCGCAGTTCTGGCCGCAGCGACCATTTGGGGGGGGTAAATCAACGGAAGGAAGACCTTTCTCTCTGTCTCTCTCTCTCTCACTGTCTATAACTCTACCTGTCAAATAAAGAAAAAAAAAGAAGTAAATCAAAATGATCTGCAGGAAGAGTCAAAGACTATGAGGAAGGGGTAGGGGTGGAGGGGAGATTTGTCAGAAACAAAAGAAAGTGAAGGGAGGGGGGCTTGGTGTCGAGAACCCCTCACGTAGGAGGCACCAAAACACCAGCACTGTGGTGCTGAGCTCAGAAGGAACTCGGAGCCAGTCCATCAGAGCCCCCTGTCTGCCCAAGACGCGCCACACACTGGCCCCGGATTTACTCGGGCAGTAGACACACTAGAAGATGTCCAAAAACAAGGTCTCAGCGTCTCCTCCATGTGCTCTGCCTGCTCCTGGGTGCACTGTCTATAACTCTACCTGTCAAATTAAAAAAAAAAAAAAAAAAAAAGCTACAGAGAGGGAAAGAGAGCGCTCTTCCATCTGCTGGTTCACTCCTCGGATGGCCACAACCATGAGGGCTGGGCCAGACTGAAGCTGGGAGCCAGGAGCTTCCTCTGCTTTCCCACGTCGGTTGCAGGGACCCAGACACTTGAGCCATCTTTGCTGCTTTTCTCAGGCCATTAGCAGGGAACTGTGTCAGAAGTAGAGCAATTGTTAGAAGAACTGGTGCCCATTTGGGATGCCAGCCTTGAAGGTGGCGGCTTTACCAGCTGCACCACAACACATTATAGATTAAAGTTCAAGTTCTTGAAAAGTACCCTGTTAATATTTAACTATGTGGAAAATGACTGCTGTTTGCTACAGCTCAGCATGAGCAGGTTAAAGATGCTTGTGCCCCTTTCCTGGGGTGGTCTTGTTTCTCACCTTCTGGCCTGCCCCCATCTGCCAGCACACGTATTCCCAGGTTGCTTCATTCTGAGCTTTGCCAGCCATCATGTGATTCGTACCCAACAGGACTGGGCCATTAGGCAAGGGCTTGAAGAGCTGTAGGTACTGGAGGAATGCTTTTGCAATAGAATTCATAACAGACAAATTTATATGTATGAAGGGTCTTTGAACAGTTATGGAAAACTCATATTATGGAAAAGCTGTACCTGGATCTCAAAACTGTTTTGCACCCAAATAAACTTATCTTTTAATTCCATTTTCCCCGAGCTTTCTGAAGTACCCTTGTGCATGATTGTGAAGTGGGCCATTTTCTGGGATTTGGAAATGTTTTTGTTAAAATGGGTTCAGCTATTCCGATTAATAGTTGCCATTTGTAAGTTAATGATGGCATTTTCACAGAAAACATGCCTGGAATGTGCTGCTTACTACTGGCTGTTGCTTCTGAGCTGTCCCTAGCGATTCAGGGTTCTGCTGAGCGGCTTTCCCTGTCCTTGCAGGATCAGTGCCTCGCTGCTCTCATGGTCAGGCCCCTGCTATCGCCCTTGGTTCCTCCATCCCCACACAGAGAGAGAGAGCTTTGGGAGAGCTTTCTTGTGCCGAGGATGTGGCCTGTCCTGTGTCTCCTCTGCAGTCTGTGTGCCCTCCCCTGCATGCACAGGCTCGCCCCTTCACCGGGCCAGCTTCGAGTTCTCCCTCACGTGCCCCTGGGACCCAGCCCTCTCTTTCTAGCTCCCCTGTCTTCTTATTGGGTTGGACACCCTGTATTGTGCCCTCACACTGCCCTGTGGTTGCATCACACTCCACTCCCGTGTCTTCATGTCACCTGGGGACTGTTAGGCCGAGGGCCGGGCGCCACTCCAGAGATGGATTCTTTTTGTCTGGGGTAGATCCAGGCACGTTTAGAGAAGCAGAAAGCAGCTTCCTGGTGACTGTGAGGAATGGTGAGAGTGGAGAGCTGCCCTGCTTTTGTGACTGCCTGTCTTCTACGCAGGCCCCGCCACAGGTTTGTAAACCCGTGAGGACAGGTCCCATGCCTGTCTTGCACATTGTATTCCTCATTCCTCCCCCAGTCCCTGGCATGCAGTGGGAGCTCCGATTTTTTTTTTTTTTTTGAAAGAATATATGAAGGGACCTGCCCGTAGTCAGGAATGTGACATTTGGAAAGCCAGTTAGAGCAATAATACCTGCTTTTCCTGTACCTCTCTCCTAAAACTTAAGGGACCACAGATCCTCGAGGGCATACGCTTGATGTGAGAAGAATAAGCATCTTTCTCTTCCTTCCCCACTCCCACCCTGCTATTGGGGGTTGTCTGAAAGGAATAAAGCAAACCACAGCCTGGAAACCCTGGAACCTGGCTGCTGCACTGATGAACCCCTCGGGTGCCGCTGCCGTGGATACACCTGTGATGTGACTTTCTGTTTTTCTCCTAGGTCAGCTGAGGGAACAGCTCAGTTACCTTAAGGGGGATAATTTTTTTAGGTTTACTTGTTCGGATTGCTCAGCAGATGGCAAGGAGCAGTACGAGAGGCTGAAGCTGACGTGGCAGCAGGTGAGTACGGAGCTGTCCTATGCAGTCCCGAGGCTGACCTGACCCCCGAAGAGTTGGTGTGAATGTCTGGAGCCAGGAGCTTCCAGATGGCTTTTGAGTGATTTCAAAGGACACTTTTAGTAATTTCACAATGGAAATTTGATACTAACTCTGTAGAGAGAGAAGCCCTTGATGAAAAATGCTTGCTGTTCACCTGGTGAATTGGGTTTGAGATTCTTGAAAAATCTCATGTGTCATTTATATGTAAACCAAGTAATGAGGTTCACATTTTTCTGGTATCCATTTTTAGAACAATGAAACTAATTTTTTTAGGTAGATGTGATGATGACTACATTGGAAATTACTACATTTGCAAGAACAGTGTTGACAACAAAAATTAATATAACCTAGCTTTTCTGCATTTGAACTCAAGATGTTTGAGTCATTTTTGTTCAATGAATACCTATGTATACTTTCACCCATCACCATAGCCAACACCCCAGTCCAACTGTAGCTTAAACAATTGCTTTTTACTGATCTCTGGGTTGTATTAATTTTTTTATATTAATTATATATGGTAAGGCACCAACATATAAATAGTCTTTTAAAAAAAAAAGCATGAATTATATACATTAATTGGTTTTCATGTTTACTCAGTCCACCAAAACTGAGTGCCTGTAATGAACCAAGCCTAGAAAAACTACCCTGATAATGAAATAGCTGAGTCTCCTGTCCCCAGTTGGCTGACAGTCAACAACTGTTTATTTTAGGTAATGAGCAGATAAACAAGGTAGTTACCCACAGCACTTTTTGATTTGAAGGAAATAGGTAATGGGAACGATATTAGATAGATTATACCATTTTAGTTACTGACAATGTTCCTTATAAATTGTAGTTGCTATAGTAGCATTAGTCTATTATCTTAATGATCCATGCTTTATTAGGACAGCTGGGGAAATCTGCCAGTGGTGAGTATAGGAAACTTTTTTTCAACTTCCTTGGAAATACATACATATATTTTTATATATATGTATAATGGGATATTTTTCTCAAAGTGTGCCTAAGATCTAGGCAACGTTGTTTTTGTACAAAGGAAATTAAAAAATGCATAGAAAATGAACTTTACAAAACACTGAATTTTAAACATTTTTTCCACCAGAATAAACTTATCATCTAATTGCTTTCCCATGATCTTTTTGAAGTACCTTTGTATGTGAATTTAACTTTGAGTCATGAGATACCTCATATACACAGGGGAGGGCTAGAAATAGCACACCCTTGCCCCCGAGGTGAGCAGTGAATACGTCTTTCTGGGACACTTTGGATATCTGAAAGTGGATAGAGGTCATTCTGTAATTTTCTGAAAGCATTTCTTAAGCAATAAATGTTTAAATATTGTGAAATACACGTAACATAAAATTTACCATTTCAGCGTACAGTCCAGTAAAATGCATTCACGTTGTTATGTAACCGTCACCACTATCCGTCTCCAGAGTTTTGTTTCCAAACTGAATTGCCGTACCTCTTAAGCAATAGCTCCCTGTGAATATTAACCGCCTTAAGGCTGATGTTTGTGGGCTGATAGAGACTGGATGGCAAGATAAGTGGAAAACATTTGGAAAATCTGTCCACGGGGCAAGTTGTGTGGTAGACTGCCTGCAAGCATTACAAGGTGAAGGAGGAGGGAATTGGAACTCTGAGTAGTAGTACGTCCTCTGAGTGGAAAAGTCACATGTCTCCTTGTCCAGCCATTGAGATTATAGGCTGTGAAAAGAGGTCCCGGGGCGTTACTGCAGTTCACTGGCTAACAAGAGCTTCAGCATGCTCCTGTATAAAGAATCTCAACGGATTCTTTTCGAGATTCTGGGTCCTCTTTTCCGTTTCATTGGCCTAATACAAACCATGATTCTTATTTGGTTGAAAACGTAGTTTTGAATAGCTTGTGTAGATTTTGCTCACTTACCTAAAATCACATGTAAGACATCCATATAAATACAGATGCCAAGAGAAATGTCCAGAAGGACAGTATCTGAAATACTGAAAGGGATTATTTCTTGGTTGTAGATTTCCAATGGTTTTTGGCTTTCTCTCTGCTGTTTTCTGTATTATTGAAGCCTTCTACAATGAGCATATATAAACTTAGATTTCTGGAATATACTTCCTCGTCTGGGGCCATTGGTTCCTCATCTATTTGACTGGTTAGTTTTCCCCTTGAGCTGTGGGGGAGAGTGCTGGTGCCCCCTGAGACTGGACTGAGCAGCCAGCATTTCAGTTCTCTGTCCCTTACCTAATACAAAGTTCACTTGAAGAACAGTTTCCCCAGCTAAAAATGGCTCAGTCCTTGAGTAAATGGCATCTAGCATTATTGTTGGCACTGAAATTCTGAGAGTTGTTTTTGTCCTCTAAAAAGCATAGAAAAGTATATGTGCCTGGGGTGATTTGCAGACTATTTAATGAAATGCTGGCTGGAACAGGCACCTGGAACCTCCCTCTGGCCAGTAGTCGGCCCTTTACCTTGGGCTGCGTCACACCTGGCGTGGGCATGCTTGGAGACTGTGCCCGTGGGCAGCTGACACACAGGCAGCCCCATGGTAACCATCAGTTCAGCCACACATGAGCCCTGCGTATTTGACACCGCAGGAACAGTGTACATGAGTGGATTAGTGGTGTCTAATGGAAGCCACGAAGAAAGTGGGATTCTGCTCTGAGAGTAGTCCCAGATGTTATCCTGCCCTTGTCCACACCCCACTTCCCCGTCCCCCACAGAATGTAGAACAACCGACACTGCCCAGTGACACTGCTGTCCCAGCCCTGGTGTTTTGTGTTTTAGGTTGTCATGTTGGCGATGTACAACTTGTCTCTGGAAGGAAGTGGACGTCAAGGTTACTTCCGGTGGAAAGAAGATATCTGCGCTTTCATTGAGAAACATTGGACGTTTTTACTAGGGAATAGGTAATGTGATTTTTAAAATATCCTGTACTTGGAGGTGGGCGATTAGTGCAGTGGTTAAGACTCCGCCTGGGACACCCCCATTCCATATCAGAGTGCCTGTTGGGTTCTAGTGCAGCTCTGCTTCTGATCCAGCTTCCTGCTGATATGTGCCCTGGGAGGCAGCAGATGATGGCTCAAGTACTTGGGTCCCTGCCACCCACAATAGGCGACCTGGATTGAGTTCTATCCTCTTGCCTTTGGCCTGCCTGTTGTGGGCATTTGGGAAGTGGACCAGCAGATGTGTTCCTTGTTAGTTTTAAAGTTGTCATGTTGGCAATGTACAACTTGTACATTTCTCTCTTTGTGTCTCTGTCTCTTTTCCTTTCGAATAAATTATTAAAGAAAAAATACACTCATATACTTGGGCTGGCACTGTGACACAGTAGGTTAAACTGCTGCTTGGAATACCAGCATCCTGTATCAGAGTGTTGGTTTGAGTCCTAGCTGCTCTGTTTCCAATCCAGCTTCCTGCTAATGCTCCTGGGAGGGCAAGTACTTGGGCTCCTGCCACCCATGTGGGAAACCCAGATGGAATTCCTAGCTCCTGGCTTCTACCTGACCCTGACCTGGCTGTTGCTGCCATTTTGAGAGTAAACCAGTGGATGGAATATCTGTCTCTCCCTGCCTATCACTTTGTGCTTAAAATAAATAAATATTTTTATTTTCAAATTTTTAAAAAGATTTATTTATTTGCTTGAGAGGCATTGTTAGAGAGAGGTCTTCCATCTACTGATTCAATCCTCAGATGGCCACAACGGCTAAACTGAGCCGGGAGCCAGGAGCTTCTTCCAGGTCTTCCACGCGGGTGCAGGGACCCAAGCACTTGGGCCATCATCCACTGCTTTCTAAGCCCATAAGAGAGAGTTGGCTCAGAAGAACAGCCGGGACTAAAACCGGCACCCATATGGGATGCTAGTGCCGCAGATGGATGCTTAACCTACTATGCCATAGCGCTTGACCATCAAAAAAATAAATCTTTCAAAAAAAAAAAAAACTTGAAGAAGGAAGATATAAATAACAAAGTATATAAGATAGGAGACTGCCTAATGTAGTTCCCTTACTTACTTGTGGCAGCTACAAAGAATTTTTGAATTCCAGAAAATGTTTTTACTTATTAAAATTAAAACAACTTGTTTATGAAGAGTCAAAGTAGAGGTGTGGCTCTCCATGCTTCTCCCATTCTGCTTGTAGAGGAAAATACTGGTTTCTGCTGAGTGTGATATTTTTGAAGATAATCTTAGGATGTTAAAAATTGAGGAAGAGTTTGATTAAATAGGGCTTTTCAAGAGTTGGATGATTATTTAATTTGAGGAGACGGAATTATTATGTCCTTTTCTTAGAAGAAAACTAACAGCAGGTATTGGCTGCAGCATTTAGATGGTTCTTAACTAACAGTCGTGTGTTCTCAGGGCTTATTTGTGTCACTCTGGAAGGCAGGCACTCTTTGCTGTTACTTTGCTTCCATGACTGTTCTTTGATTTCACTGTTGAGCCCCACTCCTTGGTGGCTGCTGCGGGGATGAGCATCAGACTTCGGAACACACAGACATTGAGACCGCGCAGTAAGGGTCCGGGTGGCTCTAACAAGATTGTCATTGCTGTTAGGGCCTAGAAAGTTTGCTACTCCATTGGTGAATTTTGCTTGATAGTCTGAGTGTTAGTTGTTGTCTGAGTCCAGTGTAAGATTCATGAACCTTGCATGATGAGATCATTGTAGACGTGACGAAGGCTGTGACCACTTCAGGTCATAGTAGGGATTCGTCCCTGTCCTCACTTGGAGTGCTCCGCAGCCTGTTTGCTCAAGTGCTGAGCAGTCACAGCTCTGCTTATGTTACGGAGAGGATAGGGAGGGCAGCCGAGAGCAAGCTGGAGGAAAAAATAGAGTCAGCGTGTTTTTCCTGAAGGGGTTTCCCAAAGGCTGTTGAGTAGTGCTAGGAAGGGAATTGACACTGTTACTGGTTCTATCTCATATGAAAAGGAAATGTAGTCTTAGTTTAATGATTTAGTGCTATTTATAGAACTTAATATACCCTGTTTATATGGGGAAAATGGTAAAATTAGATCTTGGGATTTTCATGGTCTCTGAGTGCTCCTCTATAAAGTGAATTGTATTCTGGAGTAAATTGGGCTTACGTTGCCTGTTTTTAAGGATTTTGCTAGATTTTTTTTTTTTTTTTTTGACAGGCAGAGTGGACAGTGAGAGAGAGAGACAGAGAGAGAAAGGTCTTCTTTTGCCGTTGGTTCACCCTCCAATGGCCGCCGCTGCAGCCGGCGCACCGCGCTGATCCGATGGCAGGAGCCAGGATCCAGGTGCTTTTCCTGGTCTCCCATGGGGTGCAGGGCCCAAGCACCTGGGCCATCCTCCACTGCACTCCCTGGCCATAGCAGAGAGCTGGCCTGGAAGAGGGGCAACCGGGACAGAATCCGGCGCCCCAACCGGGACTAGAACCCGGTGTGCCGGCGCCGCAAGGTGGAGGATTAGCCTATTGAGCCACGGCGCCGGCTTATGGATTTTGCTAGATTTTAACAAGTTACCTTGCTTCTTTATTTCTAGAATGTGAAATGAGAGGAATCAGCTAAGGCTTTTTGTTCTTTTTAACATTCTAGTGAAAAGCATTAATACCTCTCCAGCTTTTGTATGGTTTAACCATTAAACTAGCGTTTCTGGCCTTACTGGTGAATCACCTGAATTACTATTTACTTAATCTTCTATTTAAATCACGTTACTTAAAAAAAATCCATTAGGAAAAAAGGGAACCCTTATTATTTACTATAAACAGAATGTTTGAGGAGATGGGATTATTATGTCCTTTATAATCATACCGCAAGGAAGGCAGTGTTGTTCGGTTTTAACTGTATCACGGCAGGCAAAGGCCGTCAAGGCCGGCTTCCTCGGTCAGAAGGAGCTGGCAGTGTTAGGATTTAAAGCAAAGAACTTGCTCCCTGATCTGAGTGGAGGAGAAAAACGGGATTAGAAATCACCCTGTGATTCCTTGCCCCAGTGTGATCCTTCACTTTGGGATCAAACCTCAGTGACTGGAAAAGTCCCTGGAACCACTCATCAAGGGGTCATCACGTGCTAGACGTCTCCATGGGTGAACATTAATGGGCTCCCTGCACCTGGACGAGCAGTCTGTGACAGGCACTTCGGTCAACATTTTTAGAGCTACTGAGAATTTTTTTTAATATTTATTTATTTGAAAGGCAGAGATACAGAGAGAGAAGAGAGAAATATTCCATCCCCTGGTTCACTCCCCTAAATGGACACAACACTCTGGGCCTGGCCAAAGCCAGGAGCCAGAAGCTTCCTCTGGATCTCCCATGTCAGGGCAGATGCCCAAGGACTTGAGCCATCTTCTGCTGCCCTCCCAGGCACATTAGCAGAGAGCAAGATTGGAAGTGGAGCAGCCAGGATTTGAACTGGTACCCTTATGGAATGTCAGCATTGCAGGCGGCGATTTTACTGACTAGATCACAATGCCAGCCCCTATTGAGAAATTTAATTGCTATACATAGGACAGGTTTTAAATTCTTTATTAATTTTTTTAGGGAAAGGAATGTTTTGTTTTATTGATTTATTTTAAAGATGTATTTATTTATTTGAAAGGCAGAGTTCCAGAGAGGCAGAGGCAGAGAGAGAGGTCTTCTATCCACTGGTTCACTCCCCAAATGGCTGCAATGGCTGGAGCTGAGCCAATCTGAAGCCAGGAGCCAGAAGCTTCTTCTGGGTCTCCCACACGGGTTCAGGGGCCCAAGGACTTGGGCCATCTTTTACTGCTTTCCCAGGCACATTAGCAGAGAGCTGGGTCAGAAAAGGAGAAGCTGAGACTCAAACCAACACCCATATGGGATGCCAGCAGTGCAGGCAGCAGCTTTACCCATCATGCCACAGCGCCAGCCTCAGGTTTTAAATTCTTAAAGATTTTAACCGTCTTCACTGCTGCAGGATCCAAAAGAACAGTGTACAGTGTGATGAAGTTCTAAATTTGATATACCTCAGCTGTTTGTAAACAGCTTAAAGATTAAATCTATAAAGGCTTACTTAGGGCTAGCCTTATTTAGTGCTAACCTGATTTATGTGTCATTATAGAAACAAAAAGTACATGAAAGGTTAATTACTACAGACTAATTGCCATTGAGTGTGTGATCATTTAATCTGCTTTTACAGTCCTAGTTTTATAGTTTTGATTGGTGAAGAATAATTTGAATGCTTTCTTCTATTAGCATACTTTACTGATTTTAAGATACATAATCTTTCAGGTTTTGACATCCCTGAGAGCTGGATGCATCATACAATTCATGTCACAATTTAGTTGTAGCTCATTTTTTTATTTATACATAAGAGGGTATACCGTGAAGTTATTGGATTTCAGATTTGGTGGACTGTGGTAGGACACATTCATAGTATTTACATTTACAAAACTGCCCAGGAAGATGGCAGAGTAGGAAGCACCAGGAATGTCTCCTCACCCAGGCAGCAGTCACACTGGCAGAAATCTGTCTGTGGCTGTTTTGGAGCTCTGGAGTCTAAAGAAGGCTTGCAACGTCCAGGGAAATGCTTGGACAGTAAATTAGGTTAATTTTGGCCAATTTCTCCCCGCCCCAGCAACCGCAGCACAGGGAGCTATGTATGTTCTTGCAGCTGCTTGCACAACCTCTTGCACGTTCCAGTGTGGGCCAAAATCCTGTCCTCCACGTACTGGGGATTTGTGCTCTGGCCACTGGCTGCTGATTCTCATCACAGAAATAAACAGGCAACAGCCATTACCCTTGCATCTCCCCCCATTATTATAAAACTGGGTAAAGGAATTGAATAGATGTTTTTCCAAGGAAGATATAAAAATGGCCTTTGGGACTGGTGTTGTGGTGTGCAGGTAAAGCCACCTCCTGCGATGCTGGCACCCCATATGGTTGCCAGTTTGTGTCCCAGCTGCTCCATTTCCCATCCAACTTCCTGCTGCTGTGCCTGGGAAAGCAGTGGAAGATGGCCCAAGTACCTCGGCCCCTGCCACCCACGTGGGAGAACAGGAAGAAGCTCCTGGCTCCTGACTCCTGGCTTTGCCCTGACCCAGCCCTGGCCATTGCTGCCATTTGGGAAGTTAACTAGCACCGATAGGAGTTCTCTCTGTCTCTCTAACTCTGCCTGTCAAATAAATAATCTTTAATAAATAAAATGGTCATTGAGCACATGAAGAGATGCTCAAAACTGCTAATTGTTAGGGAAATACAGTTCAAAACTGTGATACCACTCAAACCCATTAGGATGGCAGCTATTGAAAAAAAAAAAAAAACACGAAAAACAAGGGCTCAGCGTTGCAGCATAGCCAGTTAAGTCACTGGCTGCGACACTTGCATCCCATACGGGCATAGATTCATGTTTCAGCTGCTCCACTTCTGATCTAGCTCCCTACCAATGTACCTAGTATAGCAGCAGCAGATGACTGGAGTCCATGTGCCCCTGCCATCCATGTCACAAACCCCAGTGGGGTTCCAGGCTCCTGCCTTTGGCCTGACCCAGTCCCAGATATTGCAGTTTATCTGGGGAGTAGACCAGCAGACGGAAGCTCTCTCTAACTGCCTTTCAAGTAAATAAATATAGGCCAGCGCTGTGGTGTAGTAGGCTAAGCCTCTGCCCGCAGTGCTGGCATCCCTTATGGTGCCAGTTCATGTCCTGCCTGCTCCTCTTCTGATCCAGCTCTCTGCGATGGCCTGGGAAAGTAGTGGAAGATGGTCCACATGCTTGGACCCCTGCACACATGTGGGAGACCCGGAAGAAGACCCAGAAGGTTTCAGATCAGGCCAGCTTCAGCCTTTGAGGCCATTTGGGGAGTGAACCAGCAGATGGAAGACCTTTCTTTCTGTCTCTCCATCTCTGTAACTCTCAAATAAATAAATAAATCTTATTTATTAATAAATAAATTTATTTATTTATTAATATTTATTTATTTATTTATTTATTAATAAATAAATCTGATTTATGAAGAAAAGGGGACAGATAGAGAGATCTGACATCCAGTGGTTCACTCCCCAAATGGCTGTAACGGCAGTGTTGGGCCAAACCCGAGGAGCCCAGAATTCCATGTGGGTCTCCCACATGGATGGAAGGGCCCCACTAACTCGGGCCATCTGCTGCTGCTTTCACAGGCCTGTTATCAGGGAGCTGGGTCTGAAGTAGAGCAGCTGGGACTTGAAGTGCTCATACGAGTTGTCGATGTCATAGGCGGTGGCTTAACGTGTTTTGCCAAAATGCTGGCCCCTTAATAAATAAATCTTAAAAAAAAAAAAAAAACTGTTGATAAGAATGTGGAGAAATTAGAAACTTTGGGCACTGTTGATGGGAATGTGAAATCATAACCACCATTGTGGTAGTTCCTTAAAATGTTAGAAATATTATTATATGATGCATTAATTCCACTTCCGGGTATATACTCCAGATAATTGAGAGCAGGGTGTTGCAGAGATATTTGTATGTCCTAAGAGCAGCATTATTCACAACAGCTAAAATGGGGAAGCAACAAGAGTCCACTAACCTATAAAGTGGTCTGTCCACACATGGAGCACTATTCAGACTTAAAAAGTAAGGAAAGTCTGGCACAGGCTGCAGTATGGATAAACCTTGAAGACGTTTTCTTAAGAGAAATAAGCCAGTCACAGGAATATTGTATGATTCCACCTACTGAGGGACTTTCAGAACTGAAACTCATAGATACAGAAAGTGCGCCAGCAGTTTTTTCCAACTGTGAGTTTGACCTTTTCGTGAAAAAACTCTTTGAGGGTTTCTAGTAATTGATTTATGTTTTCAGGTAGAAATAGAACAGTTGCCTTTGAAACAGTTTTCAGTGGGAGGAACCTGAATGGCTGACATTGTGCATGTTTTATGGTGCTGTGTGTGCTCTGTGTTTGTGAAACACACCAGGTAGTCTTATTCTCGCTAGAGTACTCAGGGTAAGGAGGAGCACACCGGGAGATCACCCAGCTTTGAGCTGTACCATCAGCTGAACTGCTTACCAGGGCCAACCACGAGCTTTTATCACAAAATGCTCACTCTTGTTTGGTTGATTTCTTGAGAACTGTGCTTCATTCACATATAAAAGCGCTACAAGCTAATTAAATATTAATAATTAATACTTAATCGTGGTTGTGATAAGTGTTGTATGTGCTTTGAGTCACTTCATTTAAATCCTCATAGCAACCCTGTGAGGAAAGTCCAGTTGTGCAGATGAAAAAACAGGCAGATGGGAGGTTGTGGAGCCAGGATCCGAAGCCAGGCAGACCTCAAATCTCTCTCCAGACCCCCATGCTCTGCTTCCAGCAGGCTAGAAGTCAGAGTCTGTGTAGAGCGTACCTTCTAGACAATGGTCCAGATGAATTGCCAACCATTGTTAATTCTCGCACTTTTTAGGAAAAAGACTTCGACGTGGTGGAGCACAGTAGCGGGTTGCCTCAGTGTGGGAAGTCCCATGTACTTCCGTTCAGGGGCTCAGGAGTTTGGAGAGCCAGGATGGTGGAAACTTGTTCACAACAAGCCCCCAACAATGAAACCCGAAGGAGAGAAGCTGTCTGCCTCTACCTTGAAAGTAAAAGGTGCTGCTTGCTGTAAGAATAGTGCAAAAGGTGCTGGTGGGCAGAGCCCAGCAGGTGCCCGCTCAGGAGACAGGCAGGCACTCCCAGGCTCTGCTCAGGTGCCTCTCGAGCTCTGGAGACACTTGTGTCTGCTTTGCAGCTTCTACACGCGTACTGTGTAGAAAACGCCACCGTTCCCTAATCAAGTCCCCATTCTATAAATCTCCTTTGATACCTGAAAGGTCCGTGTCTTCATTTTCAATTTTGATTTTTATTTTTAAACCTTTTACTGTGGACGTGTTAAAACATACAGAGGTGGGGAGAGTACCGAGTTTCCGAGTGTCTCCTCGGCTGTTAACTCCCGGCACTCTCCTTTTAGCCAGACTCCAGTGCTTTGCTTCAGCCTTCCACCTTCCCCACTCTTGGGTAATGTAGAAACAAATCCCAGGCATCAGCATTTTATTTTTAACTATTTCAGTATTATTTCTAAGAGATAAGGATTCTTCCCTTTGTGCAGTCTAACCATAATACCATTTTTCACTTTAAAAACATTAACAGTAATTCCTTATTATCACACATCAATGTTTCCACTTACAAGTTTTTAATGAGCTTTAAATTTTTTAATGTGATTGGGGTAAATGAGCTAATGCTGAGGAGTACAAGGTCTGAGAGTGTCCCTGCCCCTGCACAGGGTTTCCTGTGCCCAGAATAACCACTTTTGTCTCTTCAGAATGTTTTTAGAAATATCTCTGCATTGTTAGCCATTTTCTCATTTTTCAGAAGAGCTTAAGCGGACTCGTACGTAGACTCATCCTTGTTCTCCATCCCCACCCCCCGCTTGCTGCCAGCATATGGTAGACCAGCAATACGTGCAGACCTGCCTGGCTGTGACCGTGCAGACCTGCCTGGCTGTGACCGTATCAGACCATTCCTGTACTGATGGACATGATGCTGGCTGCTGCCATTTTTGCTGTTCTAAACAGTGTGTCAGCTGTACAGATTTGTGTCCCTGTGCGAGATGTGCTAAAGTTGCTGGGTCAGAGGGTGTATTCGTTGGCAGTTTTGATCAGTATTGCCAAGTTCCCCTCCGGAGAGCTGAAGTAAGAGGTGTACCTTATTAAAAGGTCACCAGAGTGCCCACGACCCCATACTCTGGCTGAACATCAGCCTGCAGTGGTCACCACTGTAGAAGTCGGGGAGATGCCGTGTCTAGTTGTCTAAATACGCACAACTTTTTTGTCTTTAAGAGACAGCTAAGTCTTTAGGACATTCATTGAACATTTCTCTCTCCTGAACACAATAAGAGATTAGCAAAGAGAAGTTGAGTCGTCTTTTTAATGTTTATTCTTTTCTGCCAGCCTCAAAACCCACGTTAGATCCCATCATTACCGTGGAGGGACTTAGAAAACGAGCAAGTCGGAATCCTGTGGAATCTGCCATGGAATTAAAGGAGAAGAGGTCGCGGACACAGGAAGCCAAAGACATCAGAAGAGCCCAGAAGGAGGCGGCCAGCTTCCTGGACAGGAGCACGTCTTCCACGCCTGTCAAATTCATCAGCCGGGGCCGCAGGCCGGACGTGATTCTCGAGAAGGGAGAAGTGATAGACTTTTCCTCCTTGAGCTCCTCCGACCGCACCCCTCTGACCAGCCCGTCTCCTTCCCCGTCTCTGGATTTCTCGGCCCCCGGCACGCCTGCCTCTCACTCTGCCACACCCAGCTTGCTGTCGGAAGCAGATCTGATTCCCGACGTGATGCCACCGCAAGCCTTGTTTCACGGTAAGACTTCCCAGGCCTGCATCTTCTGTTGTGTGTGTGTCGGGGTTCGTGACAAAGCGTGGGAAGTTTCGCCTCATGGGCTGAGTGTCTTGACGGCACTGTTCTGTACTTGGCACAGATGATGACGAGATGGAAGGGGACGGCGTCATAGACCCCGGGATGGAGTACGTCCCACCCCCTGCGGGGTCTGCCTCTGCGGGACCCGTGGGCAGGAGGAAGGTCAGAGGCCTGGAGCAGATAAAGCAGGAGGTGGAGAGTGAGGAGGAGAAGCCGGACAGGATGGACCTGGACAGCGAAGACACGGAGTCGAACACATCCTTGCAGACGCGGGCTCGGGAGAAGCGGAAGCCGCAGCTGGAGAAGGACTCGAAGCCCAGAGGCCCCAAGTACACGCCTGTGAGCATCTACGAGGAGAAGCTGCTGCTCCGGAGGCTGGAAGCCTGTCCCAGCGCGGTCGCTATGACTCCCGAAGCTCGGAGGCTCAAGCGGAAACTGATTGTCAGACAAGCCAAAAGGGACAGGGGCTTACCACTCTTTGACTTGGATCAAGTTGTTAATGCTGCTCTCCTGTTGGTGGATGGGATTTATGGAGCCAAAGAAGGGGGCGTGTCCCGGCTCCCAGCTGGACAAGCCACGTACCGGACCACCTGTCAGGACTTCAGAATCCTCGACCGATACCAGGTGAGTGCGCAAGTGTGCTAAAACTGCTGTGGCTGGAGGGGAGAGGGCAGGCAGCAGTGAACAGCTGTGCTGTGACGTCTCACCTCGTGAGTAATCTGGGGAGGGAGGAAAATGTAAGTATCCCTTGAGACGTCTGGGTGTTTCTTTTCCATGGGCATTTATGACCTAACCTAGACTTTTTCTTTGTACATGCCCATCTCCGAAGGCACCTGTACCTGATTGGTGTCATGATTTTGATTGACAGATTTGTTGAGGCCATACACCGACCAGACATCGTTGGGTTGTTATCTGCAGGTGTGTGAACACTTGTGTAGTTAGGGCACAAAACGGGGAAATAGCAGCCAAGCTGTCAGTGTGGGGTCAGCAGTGCTCAAAGGCTGTTCCATGCACCCCAGGTTCTGAGACTGCTCCCAAGAACATAAGTAATTCCACTCCAGAACCGTCAGCATCAGCCCTCACCCAGCAGGAGTGAGAGAGGTCTTCGTGAGCCCTCGCTACTAACCAGCCTTTTTGAGTTTTGCTAATTGGCTGGTTTTTATTTGCATTTCTTCGATTACAGGCGAGGCTGAAATGTTTCCATGTCTTCTGGTTGTTTGTCTGTGAACTGCTGACTGGAGTCTGCACATTTTGCTGTCTTCTCTGGCAGCTGGTGGGGGCTCCTCTCATCACAGCGTTCTGAGATTACTCAACAGTGTACCCTGTGTGGGACTTCTCTTCCGTTGTTAGGCTGGGCGGTTAGAGCATGGGCCCTTTGACTCTGAAACTCCCGAGTTCTGGAAGGTGTTCTCGGCTTCCTGTCTTCTGTTCCCCTCTGTCCTCTCTTTAGACCTGCCCTATATGGATACTGGGCTCTGTAGGCAAGAGATAGGCAGGACGAGATGGTGAACACCACAGAGCAGCCCCCTCAGCTCTGTGGTTATGATGGGTATGGCCCTGTTCTGTGAAATTTGATTCCTAGCAAGGGATATGGAGCGGGATTTGGCCTGTGGGCTAATTTGCTAAGACCTCTACTCTAGGTAGATCCTCTTCATTTTCTTTTTTCTCTCCTTTCCTGGAAAGCGTTAACCTGTTTGCCTGCATTCTAGGAGCCAATTGGGAAGGGGCCTGGAGCTCGAGCCTCAGTGGGTAAATCTCTCCCTCTCCAGACAGTCCAGTCTTCTGCCTGGGGAGGGAAGTACTGAGCCTCTCAGGCCATCACCCTCCTGCCTACTCTGGATGCCAGCACTTGACGTCTCCCTTACTGAGACCTGTTTTCAGCCATGTTTCACAAATCACCCTGGCCCCGGGCTGTCTTCCCGCATAGCCTTAGACATTGGTTTTGTTTTAAAGATTTATTTATTTTATCTGAAAGGCAGAGCCACAGAGAGAAAGAGAGATGGAGACAGAGAAAGAGAGATCATCCATCTGCTTGTTTCCTCCTCAGATGGCCTCAGTGGAGCTGGACTGATCTGAAAGCAGGAGCCAGGAGCCTCTTCCAGGTCTCCCATGTGGGTGCAGGGGACCAAGGACTTGGGCCATCCTCTGCTGTTTTCGCAGACACATTAGCAGGGAGATGGGTCAGAAGTGCGTCAGCCGGCGCTCAAACTGGCACCCACATGGGATACCGGCACTGCAGGCGGTATCTTTACCCACTGTGCCATAGCGCTGGCCCCAGCCTTAGACTTTGGATATCTTCTGAGTCGTTTGCTGCTTATTCATGTGCTTTTGTTACAGCCCTGTTTATCCCTGTTGTATTCTTGTGGATTTGTTTTTTAATCCTTGTGTTCTATGTTTTTACCTGTGAAATGTGTCACACCAATAGAAGCAGGCTCAGAACATAGGGTTATATATGAATGCCTGTGTGTTCATCTTCGGGGTTAAGACATAGTGCGACTGACTCCTTAGAAGTGCTCATGTACGTGTTCAGCTCTCCCCAGTGGGAGCCATGCTCTGGCTTGTAGTGTGAATTACTCTGCTTTTCAAACATATGTATCCCTAAACAATATGCTTTTCATTAAAGAAAACAAAACAAAAAAAACTGAGTAGCAAGCCCAAGTCTAGCTGTGTCAGGAAATCGCCACTGTTAGCTGAAGGCTTTTGGGAGGAGGTGAGGTGGACAGTCTTCCTGGGTCACTTTGTGAATTGAAATGTGCTTTCCCCACCCCTAAGGATTTGTTGACCTCCCAGCCCCTGGGGCCAATGAATGTGACTTTATTTGGGCATACGTGCTTTACAGTATGAGCTAAGATAGATAGTCCTATTATAGTGGTATGATCCCTTATTCCCGTCTGACTGATACCTTTCTTAAGAGAAGAGACGCAGAGACAGACCTGCATGTGAAGATGGAGGCAGAGGCTAGACTTGGTGTATAAAAACCAAGGGACACCAAGGATCACACAACAGCAAAAGCTGAGAGAAGGACGTGCAGCAAATTCTGCCCCGCCGTGCAGTCCCTGACAATAAATCTCTGCTGTTCTCAGACACACAGCTTGTGGTCCAGTCTCTGTGGGCTCTGTAGCCACAGATTGAGCCAATCACAGGCTGGAAATATTTGAGAAATGGAAAGTTGTGTCTGTACTGAACACATGCAGACTTTCTTGCTTGTCCTTATTCCCTGAACAATCCAGTGCTACTATTCACATAGCATTTACAGTGTATGAGGCACTATAAGGAATCTAGACATGACGTAAAGTATGTGGAAGGAGCCGTGTAGTACTATAAAGTTACTGTGTCGTGTCATATAAGGGACCAGAGCATCCGTGAATTTTGGTCTTCAGAGGGAAGGAGGGCCCTGTAGCCAATTCCCTGTGCATAACAAGGGAGTGACTGCACTTCCAGACCCCCTGGCTTCAGCTCCTGTGAGCCCCATGTGTGGAAGTGAGAGTTCAAGGTCATGAAGAAGACCTGGGCCCCTCCCCAGCATGAACATTAGGCAGGGCCCTCTTGTGCGCCTTGGAATGCTGCAGGAATCTGAGCAGAGCCGGGAGGGCCTCTGTGTTTCCTGCCTGAGCTTGGCTTCTGTCCAGTTTGCCGGAGGTCAGAGCAGTCATCTACAGAGTGATCGTCTTCCGCTGATCCAGGGAGTGGGTGTGAAGGGGCCGTATACAGGAGGCTCACAGCACATGGCTGGTGCAAGCTGAGCACAGCCAGAGATGATTCTGGGCCTTGACTCCTTAGGTTTGAAAAGTGGTTCACGGCCACAGAACTGAGTGATGACAGCCTCAGTGTCACTTGAGTTGTCCCTGTCCAGGCTGTACTGCCCCTGTGTATGAAACTTAGTGGTGGCCCCAGGATCTCCCCTCTTGTGTGTGCAATCTCCTGTTCTCCTGTGGTCCGGAAGCCCATCCTTAACAGCTTCCTGAGAAAGGCTACCTGGGAGGTAAAATTTGAGACTACATGTCTGAAAAGGCCTTGACTTGAAAATCCCAAGCCAGCGCTGGGTTAAGTGGAAAACCAACTTAACCCCACCCTGGAAGCCCGTGGACCATGGTGCAGCACTTTCAAGTTCTGAGGGGGATGGAGTGGAACCTGGAATCCGGTGCACAGCCACATTATCTGAGTGAGTCCTTAGTGGAGGGCGCCCAGTCCCTGCCTCTCGGCATCCCCTTGTGGGCGGGTCTGACTCCCCCAGGGAACTTCCTGCCTCAGGACCTGGTTGCCCTGTGGGGGAAAAGGACCTTAGCCATCTGCCTGTGCGGCACTCACACCTCAGGCACTGTACCAGCTCCCAGAGCCCCTTAGTTCCTGAGCCTTCTGCAGAGGCTGGCCCTCAGACTCCTGGGGAGGGCAGCCAGCGCCCACCAGCTGAGGGGGCCCGCAGCTTGTCTGCTTCCCATGCTACAGTGTAGGTTGAGGCTGGCTCTCGCCTTACCTCAGGGCGGCTGGGGACTTGGGTGCCACAGTCACTGTTGCTTCTTCTCCTGAACTTTGTGTTCTGATTCTCTCTCTCTCTTCCTGTTAGTTTGTTCCTATAATTTTAGTGGGGTTTGGAAGGCAGTAAAATTGTGTGCTTATGCCTAATCCCCTTTTAACCAAGACTTCTTGAATGATTTTAATGCAGTTCCACAGAGGAGCAGCTGTAAATTGCATTTTTTAAAATTTTATCTATTTATTTGAGAGGTAGAGTTACAGATAGAGACAGAGACAGAAAGGTCTTCCATGGGCTGGTTCACTCCCAAGATGGCCACAGCCGCCAAGGCTGAACCGATCCAAAGGAGCCAGGATCTTCCAGGCCTCCCATGCAGGTACAGGGGCCCAAGCACTTGGACCATCCTCACTGCTTTCCCAGGCCACAGCAGAGAGCCAGATTGGAAGAGGAGCAGCCAGGACTAGAACCAGAGTCCATATGGGATGCTGGCACTATAAGCGGATGATTAACGACCTTGCCACAGCGCTGACCCCTGTAAATGCAGTTTTAAATGCATGTTTTTGGGGCCGGCACTGTGGAGTAGCAGGTAAAGCTGCCGCCTGCAGTGCTGGCATCACATGTGGGTGCCAGTTTGAGTCCCAACTGCTCCACTTCTGATCCAGCTCTCTGCTGTGGCCTGGGAAATCAGTGGAAGATGGCCCAAGTCCTGGGGCCCCTACGCCCATGTGGGAGACCTGGAAAAAGTTCCTGGCTCCTGGCTTCAGATTGGCTCAGCTCAGGCTGTTGCAGCCATCTGGCGAGTGAACCAGCAGATGGAAGACCTCTCTCTGCCTCTGCCTCTCTGTAGCTCTGCCTTTCAATTAAATGAATAATCTTAAATAAATAAATAAATCCATGTTCTTTTTGCTTTCTGATAAATGTATTCATAGCTACAAATTTCCCTGTGCTTACTGCTTTAGCTATGCCTTGTGACTTTTGAAATGGTGTGAGTCTATTACTTGCCAGAATTTAGCATTTTGTAATTTTTCGCATGACTTCACCTTTAACCCAAGAGTTATTTAGTGTTATTTTTTGGTTTTCAGATTATGAAAAATTTAAGCTATCTTTTGACAATTGATTTTATTTCTAGTCAGATTGTATTAAGGTCAGAGAAAATAGTCTGTATCTGTTGATTCTTTTTTTTTTTTTTTTTTAATTTTTTAAAAATTTATTTGACAGAGTTAGACAATGAGAGAGAGAGACAGAAAAAAGTCTTCGTTCTGTTGGTTCATCCCCCAAATGGTCGCTGTGGCCGGAGCTAACACCAATCCAAAGCCAGGAGCCAGGTGCTTCTTCCTGGTCTCCCACACAGGTGCAGGGCCCAAGCACTTGGGCCATCCTGCACTGCCCTCCTGGGCCACAGCAGAGAGCTGGCCTGGAAGAGGAGCAACCAGGACTAGAACCCGGCACCCATATGGGATGCCGGTGCCGCAGGCGGAGGATTAACCAAGTGAGCCATGGTGCCGGCCCCTATATCTGTTGATTCTTTAAAGAAAATTAGTGGCTGGCTGTTGGCATAGCAAAGAAGATGATGCTTAGGATACCTACATTCTGTGTTGGAGTGCTTGGATTCAGGTCCCACCTCTGCTCTCAATTCTAGCTTCCCCCTAATGCACAGCCTAGTAGGCAGCAAGTAATGGCTCTAGTAGTTGGGTTCCTACACCAACTGGGAAGACCTGGATTGAGTTCCTGACTCCCAGCTTCAGCCTGGCCCACCCTGGCTGTTTATGAGTATTTGGGGAGGAAACCAATGGGTAGGAGAGTGTTCTCTCTCTCTCTCTGTCATGCTCACTTGCTCTCTCTTTCTCACTCTGCTGCTGCCTCTCTTTCAGTCTATCTGCCTTTCAATAAATAAGTAAAATTTTATGAAAGTTATACATTTTTATTCTTTTTATGTCTTAAGTAACTTATATTTATTAATTTTTTATTATTACCATGTAATTTTTTCCCCAAAGAAAAGAGTACCTGTCTGCTCCCATCTGTCTTTTCTCTTCATTGCTAGACTAAGCTGTGTTGCGTACTTAAGTGACAGAAGACCCACTACATTGTTTATTCATTCTTACTTCCCATGGCAGAACTACTTCCTTTAACAGTTGCTAAAATTCAGACCTTCTTAGGGCAAACATTTGGCACAGTGGTTAAGACCTTGCTTGTTCCTTTGCTTCCAATCCGGCTTCCTGCTGGTGTGCACCCCATCAGGCACCAGATGACAGCTCAAGCAGTTAGGTCTCTATCCACCACGATGGGAGACCTAGATTGCATTCCTGGGTTCCAGCTTTGACCTGGCCCAGCCCTGGCTGTGGCAGGTTTTTAGGGACTGAACAAATCAATGGAGGCTCTTTCTGTTTCTCTCTCTCTCTCTCTCATTCTCTGCCTGCCAAATAAAGTAAAAGTAAATGGATACGGATTTAGGGGGATGATGTCTTCCTGTTAATTTTGAACACGTGTTTGCCTGAGAATCTCTTCATTTCACTCGCCTTTCAATGGTGGCATAGCATAGTTGTATATAAAACTAAGTTTGTTGTTTCCTCTACTGTTCGGAAATTATAATTCCTCTATCACTTTACATTAAGTATTGCTCCTGAGAGCCCCAAACTCTTGTTTCTTTGTAGGTGGCCTTTTGTTTTATAGTCCCACCTCCTGGAAGCTTTTGAACTTGAACTATTTTTGGCTCTTGTCTGTCTTGCTTGAGAGCTCTGCTCGCTCAGAGACATCCTGAGTGCTTCTTGGCCTTTGTCCTTCCCGGTGTTCTGAGAGCTCCCTGGTGCTGGAGTTTGGTGCCTGATACTGCCTGGGCACAGTTCCCTGTCACTGTTGCTTCAAATATTTGTTATTTCTTCCCACATTCTTTTTAAAACTTTTTATTAATATAAAGAGGACAGATGTCATGTATTTCATAGATGTCATTCTAAGAAGATAACCATACTTCCCTCCTTATTTCTTTCCCTCCCTCAGTCCCCTACCTTCCTTCTTTTTTTTTTTCCTTTAATTTTTGCAAAAACATAATTTCAGTCCATTCTATAAGCACAGGCTTCATGCATCTTCCTGTATTCCTGTAATGCTTGTTACACCTTTTGTAGTTAGTTGTCCAGTAGTTCTTGAGTAGTCTAGATTTATTTATTTTTATTTACTTGAAAGGCAGAGTTGCAGAGAGAGAGAGGGAGAGATCTTCTATCCCTTAGTTCATTCCCCAGATGCCTGCAATGGCCAGGGCTGTGCTGATCTGAAGCCAGGGGCTTCTTCCAAGTGGGTGCAGGGGCCCAAGGACTTGAGCTAACTTCTACTGCTTTCCCAGGCCATAGCAGAGAGCTGGATCGGAAGAGGAGCAGCCTGGACTAGAACCAGCCCCCATATGGGATGCTGGCACTGCAGGCAGCGGTTTTACCCGCTACAGCACAGTGCCGACCCCTCACCTTTATTTCAAATAAGGGTTGCTGGAAGGTTGAAGGAAGCAGTCTACAGAGCAGGCAAATTATAAAGGAAGGCAGCTTTCTTTCAACAAACTTATTTTCTAGACTAAGAGCAAACTGAATCTACAAAAACAACTTTAGTTTCTAAACTTCATCCAACCTTTGGCAAACCACTTTATAAGTATGCCTTTTAATCTTCCACCTGAGTCTTTGCTGTACAACCCTAATTGCCCGCGATCTGTTTCTACATGACCGAGGGCCCTGGAGCGGCACGTGTTAAGAACAGCTCACCTCCAGGCTTGCTCCGGGGGTGCAGGACAAAGTGCGTGAAGCCCACTGGTGCGTTAGTCCTCCCTCCCAGGGGACAGGGGCTGCTTCTCATTTGTACCTCTGTAGATGCTCGGCTGCTGGGAGCTGTTGTAGGGCTGATGCTGCACTTCATTCCTTGTTTCCCTGTGGAAAAGAGACATGGCACAGTTGCTCCCTATGGCTGCTTGGGTAATAGAGTGGCCATGTAATGTGTGGCCCATGTCTGAGTATGTGTTGCCTGCTTCAGTATTGAGTAAGTGGATTGAAGCATAGTACAGATGAAACGAAGCCTACAGAAGCTGCAGATCCAGTGTTGAGTCCTGTGTTTCACTGACTTGAGTGACTTAAAATGTGTAAAGAGAAAATTTTTAAAAATCTGGTTTCAGACTATTACAGCTTGGGTTAGTTTTTCTTATCTGGTTTTACACAAAGGTGCCTACAAAGGTTTGTACTGAAACTTGAGCTTTCCAAATAAGTCATGCAAAAAAAAGATTTACTTAAGCCAGCGTTGTGGCGAAACAGGTAAAACCACCACCTGTAATGCCAGCATCCCATATGGGCACTGATTCGAGTCCCAGCTGCTCCTCTTCTGATCCAGCTCCCTGCTAATGGCCTGGGAAAGCAGCAGAGGATGGCCCAAGTGCTTGGGCCCTCTGCACCCACGTGGGAGACCGGGAAGAAGCTCTTGGCTCCCGGCTTTGGCCTAGCCCTGTCTTGGCCACCGTGACTATTTGGGGAGTGAACCAGTGGATGGAAGAGCTCTCTCTGTCTCTCTCTAATTCTGACTTTCAAATAAATGAAAAAAATTTTTTTAAAGATCTAAAGACCTTGCAGACACATAAAAATATCAGTTACTAATTCTATACGGAAATTAACCAATCCTCTGAATGATGTTTTTAATACATCCAGTGTTTCTTTCTCGTAGACCTCCTTGCCCTCCAGGAAAGGATTCCGGCACCAGACCACCAAGTTTTTGTATCGTTTGGTCGGATCAGAAGATATGGCTGTGGACCAAAGTATTGTCAGCCCTTATACTTCCCGGATCTTGAAGCCTTATATCAGGTAAACAGAAAAGAAGTGTGATGTCCAGTGTGTCTCAGGGGATGACGTTTGTGGTTTGTGCCCCCTGTTCTCCAGTCAGAGTGAAAAAGCCCAGAAACCGAGCAGGATTGGCGAGCTCTGTGCTCCGTGTCAGGTCGCATCCTTTGCTCGTTTCAACTGTACTCTTTTGCATAAACCATGGTCCTTTGAAAGAAATGTAAACAGCAAAGCTGAGTTAACTGTTCAGTTTCTTTGTGCACATGATAATGACCGTTTCATCTTAAATGTTAGTTATATGCCTTTTAGAAACTGCAGTGACAATGTGAGAAAGATGCTCAGCTGAGCCCATACCCGGGCGGCGTGTTGTCCGGGCCGGGAAATGGCAGCTGAGCTGCTGGAGAGGCCCCTCGCAGTGCCGGGCACCATGACTGAGAGAACGCGCTGTCTTTCTTGTGCCACACTTCCCCTACAGCTCTGTAATCCCCCTGACCCTCCTTTGCCTCTGGTGCTCCCCACTGCCCAGCAAGGTCAGTGTTGCCACCCGAGGCCTTCCATAGCCCTGGAGGTGCATCCCCACGTGCAAGCTGTACTCCGAGTGAACCTGGGTACTGTTCGTTTCCTCGCGGAATGCATTAAGACCAGTACCTGGCAGTGTGCCTGGTGATTGTTAATAGAGTGAACGTTAGATTTCATACAGGACAGGTACAGCTGTAATCAACGAGCCACCAAATAAAGCAGTGCAAATTAGCGTGAGGTTTGAAGCAAATCAAAGAGTTTATGTAAGTTAAGTAACCAGGAATAATACCGAGTATTTTTATTGACTTGAGTTTGTTTATCTTCTGTGGTACTGCAGGCGTGATTACGAAACAAGACCACCCAAACTACAGCTCCTGTCACAGATCCGTTCCCACCTGCACAGGAGTGACCCTCACTGGACACCTGAGCCCGACGCACCTCTTGATTACTGCTACGTCCGGCCAAATCACATCCCAACCATCAACTCTATGTGTCAGGAGTTTTTCTGGCCTGGTATGTTCCCCCTCCTAAACCAGGCAGATCCGTTTCTGTACAGTACATCTCAGTCATTTTTAAATTAGTGTGTGCCACGTGACCCTAAGGCCTTGATGCATATAGTTTGTTTCTACTAACACAGAAATACTAAAACATAAATACTTCTTCTCCTAAGATCAAAAAGAAGACAGCAATTAAAGTAATAAACAGTGTTTTTGTTTGTTTCTCTTCCCTGTTTGTCTCTGCTTCCAGAATAAAAGATTCATCCTGTTTTGCTTCTACATATGTTTAGATACCAGGTAATGTCTATCAAAGCTACACAGACTGGTAGCCTGGGCGAGTCTGGACACTTTTGCTTTTGGCTTAAAGATTCCTTATGCTTTGTTTAAGTGTTCCTTCGAGAGTGTTAATACAGCCAAAGGGTATTTTTTAAAAGCCAGATACCCCAATCACAGCCTTTGAGAGTCAAAAGTAAACTCAGTAGGCTTTGTCATTTTATCAGTCCTAACAAAATGGCCTCTGAAGGCCAAAGCCAGTTACAGTGACACACACTAGCCGCTGAACGTACAGACGTGCTTTCTGGGTCTGCTTTGAAACCTGAAGGCAGTACCGGCAGGTTTTCCAGGTGGGAGATGAGGTCTCATCACACCACCTGTCCCATTGTCTGATAGTCGGGAAGAGGTGCATGTGGTGGGCGAGGCAGGACCTTTACCCCAGTCTGCCAGGTCGCCCTACGTGCGGCAGACACTGAGCCCCGAGACTGTGCTCTCCCCGCCCCCTCTCCCCGCCCCCTCTCTTCTTAACAAATGTACTTGGAAAGGACTGTGTTAATTCTGGTGCTTTCTAAAACGCATCTTTATTTTTATGATCTGACTGTGTGGTCTCTATGGTAATTTCTTTGCCTCCCATTCTGGGCTTGCTTAGCACGCAGGTGTAGCTGTCGGTATAGATTGAGCTCTGGAAGGCCCAGCCCTTGAGTCCCTGCTGCTTTCTCTTCTTTAGGCATTGACCTGTCTGAGTGCCTGCAGTATCCAGACTTCAGCGTAGTTGTCCTTTATAAGAAAGTCATCATTGCCTTCGGCTTCATGGTTCCTGATGTGAAATACAACGAAGCGTACATTTCATTTCTGTTTGTCCATCCCGAGTGGAGGAGAGCAGGGATCGCCACGTTCATGATCTATCATCTGATTCAGGTAAGGTGTCTGTTCGTCTCTGCCACCTTGCCTCCGGGCTCCCCTGAGAGACATGGAGGAGGAATGAGGCTGGCCCAGTGGAATGGGCTGCCTGGAAACTGATCATCACCCCTCGGGAGGTTGTTAAAGGACACAGACAAAAACCTGACTCCATAGTGAGATGACTACTGGGACTCAGGTTTAAAAGAACATGTGTTGTGAACAGAATGACAGAGTACAGAAGTGAGGCCCGAGCACGTGTGCTGTCCGTGGTGTGGTCGCTGCTGCTCCTAGAGTCAGCGCTGACACAGCTCTGAGAAATGGAAGGGGAACTATGATGTTTTAACATTTTTTATTTGCTTATTTATTTGAGAGGTAGAAAGATAGCAAATGCAGCAAGCTCCCTTGAGCTGGTTCACTCCCCAGATACCTGCACCAGCCAGGGTTAGACCAGAGCAGGGAGCCAGGAATTCCGTCCGGGTCTGCTGACTGCTTGACTCAGCTACTTGAGGTATCACCTGCCTCCTCCCAGGGCGAGCATGAATAGGAAGCTGGAATTGGGAGAGGACTAGAACCCAGGCACTGTGACATGGGGGCGTCCCAGCGGGCATCCAGCTGGTACCTTAACTGCCAGGCCAAATGCTTACCCCCGAACTAGGGTTTCTGTTTTTAAGTATCTCTGAACATTTTAGCTCAAGGGCATCAATAAGCAGTACATATTCTATACTGCTGATCATTTTCCATCTTAATACCACTGTATAAGCTGTTACAAACCCTAAGATTGATTCTAATATTGAATATTGAAGAAAAGACCATGTGTTTATGTACTAACATCAGAACACATGCAAAGATTGTTTTCTCCAGATTTTTTCTGATGACTTTTATTTCCAACACATGCTCCTTTCTCTGCCCCCACCAAATTGCTCTCCACCCTGCTGACCTTCTTCTGCCTTTTCTATTCTGCTGAGGGCCTGAGGGCAGGTGCAGGCACATTGAACGTGTGTGCATCCTTGGTGCCTAACTCACAGCCTGGTGCAGTCCGTCGGTGCTGGGTTTGTGGGGTGTGTGGAGGAGTCGCTCATTCTTTGTGTGTGGCTGCTGTGTGCCCCAGCCAGGCCATATGCCCCAGGTCCCAAACACAAGGTGCTTGCGTTAGAGGGCTGGATTGAGTTCTCAGCTCCCAGCTTCATATCATGGCCATTGTAGACATTTAGGGAGTGAACCAATGGGTAAGAGCTCGCTCTATTTCACTCCCTCCCTCCCTCCCTCTTTCCCTCCTTCCCTCTCTCTTTTTCTCTCCCTCTCTCTTTCCCTCCTTCCCTCCTTCCCTCTCTCTTTTTCTCTCCCTCTCTCTCTCTCTTTCTTTCTTCTTTCCTTCCTTCCTCCCTCCCTCCCTCCCTCCCTCTCAAATTAAAAAGCAATAATAATAGAGAAGTTCTTAATTCTTTAGAGTTAGTAGCTGGAGTTGGCTGTGGTTGGTCAGGTGTATTTGCAATCTGAAGAACACTAGCATTACCACGCAGAATTTGCTCTGTACACGCACATGCTCTTGTCACTGGTATAACAGTATGCTGTCTCCTCATTTATTTATTTTTTTATTTATTTGACAGGTAGAGTTAAAGACAGAGAAAGAGAGAGACAGAAAGATCTTCCTTCCGTTGATTCACTCCCCAAATGGCTACTATGACCGGCACTGCGCCAGTTGAAAGCCAGGAGCCAGGCGCTTCTTCCCGGTCTCCCATGTGGGTACAGGGGCCCAAGCACTTGAGCCATCCTGCACTGCCCTCCTGGGCCACAGCAGAGAGCTGGACTGGAAGAGGAGCAACTGGGACTAGAACCCGGTGCCCATATGGGATGCCAGTGCCGCAGGCGGAGGATTAACCAAGTGAGCCACGGCACCAGCCCCTGCTGTCTCCTCTTAAAGATGCCTTTGGACGCACAGTGTGTGAGTTCAGCAGAGAAGACAGCAGTCAGGTGGCCTGTGGCAGAGTACGTAAATAGACGCTTTCAGGGACCGTGAATTCCAAATCTCAAGGACTCAGCTTCACTGTTTCTCATTTCAAAGCAAGTTCTCTGTGGAAGTGTTTGGCCTGGTGGTCAGTGCATCAGTTAGGATGCGCGCGTCCTCCAGTGGAGTGCCTGAGTTCAGTTCCTGGCTCTGGCTCCTGATTCTAGTTTACTGCTGATGCAAACCTGGGAAACAACAGCGATGGCTCAGGTAAGTGGGTTCCTGCCACCCATGTGGGAGGCCTGCATTGAATTCTTGGCTCCTGGCTTCAGATGCCAGCCATAGGGGGCATTTGGGGATTGATCGCATGAGCAGGAGAGCGTGTGTTCTCTCTCTCTCTGCCTCCCAAAAATCATCTTAGTAAACAAGTTCTTTTTTTTTTTTTTTTTTAATATTTATTTGTTTATTTGAAAGTCTGAGTTACATAGAGAGAGAGAGAGAGATAAATCTTCCATCCTCTGGTTCACTCCCCAATTTGCTGCAATGGCCAGAGCTGCGCCGATCTGAAGCCAGGAGCCAGGAACTTCCTCTGGGACTTCCCATGCAGGTGCAGGACCCAAGGACTTGGGCCATCTTCTACTGCTTTCCCAGACCACAGCAGAGAGCTGGATCGGAAGTGGAGCAGCCAGGTATTGAACCGGTGCCCATATGGGATGCTGGCACTGTAGCTGGTGGCTTTACCTACTACGCCTTGGCCCCGAGTTCTTAATTTATGTACCTTGTTCTGTGTAACTGATAAAAGAATTTAAGAGTTGGGGGCTGGCACTGTGCCTCACTTGGTTAATCCTCCACCTGTGGCGCCGGCATCCCATATGGACGCCAGGTTCAAGTCCCGGTTGCTCCTCTTCCAGGCCAGCTCTCTGCTGTGGCCCAGGATGGCAGTGCAGGATGGCCCAAGTCCTTGGGCCCTGCACCCGCATGGGAGACCGGGAGGAAGCACCTGGCTCCTGGCTTCAGATCGGCGTAGCTCAGGCCGTAGAGGCCATTTGGGGGGGTGAACCAACAGAAGGAAGACCTTTCTCTCTGTGTCTCTCTCTCACTATCTAACTCTGTCAGATAAAAAATAAGTAAATTTATTTGTTTGAGAGGGAGAGAGAAACAGAGCGCTCATCTGCTGATTCACTCCCTTAATGGCTGCAGTGGCTGTGACTGAGCCAGGGCAAAGCCAGGAGCTGGAAAGGGCTCGGGTCTCCCACGTGGCAGGGACCCGACTAATGGAGCCATCACTGCTGCCTCTCAGGGTCTGCACGAGCAGAGCACTGGCGTTGGGAGCAGAGCCAGCATTTGAACCGAGGCGCTGTGATGTGGGATGCGGGTGTCTTAGCTAGCATCCCAACCCCTTGGCCAAATGCCCACCCTGGTCCTCAGATTTTATCACTAAATTATGTTTCATATCTGTGTGAAGAGTTTAGCATCTTTTCTAGCAGGCCTTGGGAGGGGATTTTTACACATTTGAGGAGGGTACATGATAACATCTCATTGAAAAAAGCAGAGCTTATCTTGTTCTCGGTTTCTTCATGGTTGTCATAGTGCTGGTATCGATATGTTTGACAGTTAAACGTGATTATAAACCAGTAGTGAAGTTGACAGTGAAATGTGACCCCAGGCTCCTCACCCATGCCGAGCTTCTCTGGTCTTGAGGACGTGTGGATCCGCGGCACAGTGCTGCTTGCTTTCCAGCCTGCGCAGCGTGGCGGTCGCCCCGGTCCCTGGTTTCTCTGGTGTCCGTAACTGACTGCCCACACCCAGACAGGCTTCTTCACCTCCCTGTCTTCCCTGAGGCCTTCTCATTTTCGTCCTTTCCCACTCTCTTGGCAGACCTGCATGGGCAAGGATGTAACCCTTCACGTCTCAGCAAGCAACCCTGCTATGCTGCTCTACCAGAAGTTTGGCTTTAAGACTGAAGAATATGTTTTAGATTTTTATGATAAATACTACCCTCTGGAGAGCACAGAGTGTAAACACGCGTTCTTCCTGAGGCTGCGGCGCTGACGGGAAGCCGGCTCACGCAGAGAGATGCGTGTGCAGCGAGAGGCCGCGTCTACGCAGACCAGGCTGCGATCGGGTGGGAGCCCTGTCACCTCTCCACTGGGGCCCGAGAGGCCAGGAGTGAGCAGCCCTGAGCCAGGGTCACTCTCCAGCCCTTCCAAGAGCAGCCCTGAGCCAACGCGTCGGACTCCTCCGTCAGCTAAAGCTGAGTGCTGCCTCCTGCCGCCGTCCTCCTCCCCCGGACAGCTTGCAGGCATGAGAGCCCCGGACTGAAGCTCCCGGCAGAGACCCTGTCTGCCTGACTTAAAGGACGAGGAAATGGGGGCACGGTTGAAAACTGACGCAGTGCCCAGGAAGCGCTGCGCCGTCCCGGGTGATGGCAGGCGATGCGGTGCTCACAGGAAGGGACCCACCCTGACCTCAAATCCAGGAGGGCGTCCCGGGCACTGCAGGCTGTTGTTGCTTGCTCACGTTGGGCGCAGTTGGGAAATACAGACTAAACGTTGCTATCTACACGTGACTTTACCTGTTCTACTTATTAGCATCTCCCTGCAGGGGCTTTGGCCTCCGCAGTTGGTTTGGGATGGGAGCGGTTGAGCTGCCTGTCACTTAGCTTGCCTTCCCTGGCCATTCTCAAACCCGGGACAGAGGCTGCCAGAGTCACCGTGGACGGAGCCTGTCTTGTCTGCAGGGTGTGTGCTGGGTGTTCGAGATGGACTATCAAGCCGTTTGTTTGTTTGTTTTTGATCAAGCAAGAACATTTTCTAAAATAATCAGATGTTCTTCAATAAAAACCTTTCTGTGTGACAACCAATGGCCTCCGTCTGGTCAGTCTGCTTTCAGACCCTGTTTGATTAAGAGCAGTGGTTCTGAACTTTTTGGGATCACTTTGAGAATCCAAGGAAAACGGCCCCCTCGACCCCCAAGTGAAGAACCTCTGTTCTGGGGCTGTGCGTGCAGCCAGCCTGGCTGCCTTGTCCGGGGGCCTGCCTGGAGCCCTGCTGTCGGGACTGTCGGGACAGCCGGGAGTTGTTCAGTCTCCTGGGGAAACAACTTGGACTCAGTTCCATTCATGTGAGGACTTTTTCTTCCTTCCTCCCCAAGAGTTTCTACCTTTTAAAGGTTGATGTTAACAAAAAGAAACCAACATGTGAGCACAGACTTCTGTGGCTGCTAAGGGGTGGCTTCAAGCCATTGTTTCCCATTCCTTAATTATGAGAGTAAAGCCCCCCTCCCCCCCATGCTCACCAGTAACCCAGATTTTGCCACTGGTGTTTCATTTATCCTCCTGTTTCTTTGCTAAAGCCTTTGCAAGTAAATCCCAGATATCAGGTCATTTCATCACTGCTTACTAAGGAGGTGTTTCTAACAAACGTGGGTATTACATAACCACAGTGCCTATTACTACTCCTCAACATGGGCACATTTTTGGGATTGCAGTCAGGCTTTCTGGGTTGTCTCAGAAACGCTTCCACAGCTGGTTCATTTGGGTCAGTGGTCAGGCAGGGCTCACCTGGGCAGTTGGTGAGTCTCCTGCCCCTGGGCATGACGGACACTGCGCCGGTTGCCCTGCAGAGCGTCCCACGGTGCAGGTTCTGTTGCATCCTGTGGTCCTTTGCAAGGCAGGGCTAACTGGGCAGGTGACCAGCAGACCTGTTCTGGCCTCTTCAGCAAGAGGAAGCTGACGGTCCCTGTTTGGGCATTAGGGCAGGTAACCATTGGTTTTGATCTGGCCTTCCTCCCCACCCCCACCCTCAGGCTAGCACTGTGGCGCAGCGGGTTAACGCCCTGGCCTGAAGCGCCAGCATCCAATATGGGTACTGGTTCTAGTCCCGGCTGCTCCTCTTCCAGTCCATCTCTCTGCTATGGCCTGGGAAAGCAGGAGAAGATGGCCCAAGTCCTTGGGCCCCTGCACCCATGTGGTACAGAAGAAGCGCCTGGCTCCTTGCTGCGGATTGGCACAGCTCTGGCAGTTGTGGCCATCTGGGGAGTGAACCAGCAGGTGGAAGACCTCTCTCTCTGTCTCTACCTCTCTCTAACTCTGTCTTTCAAATAAGTCTTAAAAAAAAAAAAAAGTGATTTCTCCACATGCAAGGAAGGTGGCCGGGGTGAGGAAAAATATTTGCAGATTTCCATGTCTCCGTGAATTTGTGGTTGTTTCAAGTAGGGGAGCTTATTTTTTTTTTTCCTTCCACAAAAGTGGGCATTAAATTCAAAAAGCCAAAGATCGGCACCCAGATCAGCTCCAGTGCTGGGTGATGAGCAGGAAGTTGGGGTAAGGAATTGTGGACCTCAGTACCGGCAACAGCCATGAGTTCATGAAACCCTCCATCAGGGCTCTCATACTTGGCTCTGAGAACTAGGTGTTCATGAAGGGGAAAAAAAGCCTAACTTCCTAAAAGATTCTCCTACTCCAGCCCCAGCTGGAGGTGGCTGGGTAACGCCTCCCTCACAGATTTGTAGTGATAGCCCCAACAAGGCCAAGAAAATGACAGATGGAGGCCCCCGGTTCAAAGCTTGACGGTCTGGAGGCAGCGCCTGCAGGCTTTCCCGCTCTGGCTGACCCTGGGAGAGGCTGAGGGAGTCTGCTTGGCTCGCCGCCAGCCCCCAGGGCTGCACAGAGGCAGGGCTCCATGGGCCTGGCTGAGGGAGCCGGAAATGAGCTGAGCACCAGGAGCTCAGTGGGCTGAGAGGCCTCTGTCACGCCTCCTGTTTCTCGTTTTCCAGACCTGTGTGTAGACTTTCTGTCTACACAGAATGTCTACACAGATGTTTCTCACGGCACCAGCCCCTTCTCTCTGCCTGGATAGGTAAAGACAATGCTTGTCTCTTAGACTCTTACAACATTGTGTGCAGGTTCCCCTGAACCCTGCGAAAGTAACCAAAGCCTGGGCAAAGCTTGGATTCTGTGAGCTGAAGGAGACTGGTGACCGCTCAGGTAAGAAGCTGGAAGGGGGCTCAATGAGTGTGCAGGCTGGTCCGGCTTTCCCCTGCAGCTTTGCTGCTGATAGGAGGTGTGGTCAAGAGGGACCCTAGTCAGTAGCAGCTTGCACTGCCTCACTGGTGGCTGGTTCTAGGAAGGAACATTCTAGAAGCACAAAGCCCTGGCAGCACATGCTTATCAAGTCTCTGCTTCCAACATGCTCACCAGTGTCCTACTGACCATGGCTGAGCTCAGTCTGCGTGCAGGCTGCACAGGTGCTGAATACCAGGTCTTCAGGTGGGCCGCCAAGTAGAAGTCACCAGCCAGGGCCACTATAGAAAACTCATCATTGGCTCTATCGCCCAAGATGGTGGTCCCGAAGTTGGAGGACACATTCTGAAACCACGCCCCTATACAATGCCTTTGCTGTAGGTGTCCTCAGGCCCTAGTCTGTCTCCCTGCCTCAGTGATGTTTCTTTGCCCTTCTCTGATGATCGCAAATTAACCTCTGAGTAAGGAGTCACTGACTGCATGGAGGGAGTGGGTCCCAGCTCACAGGACTCCTGAGTCCACTGATCTCCTGGATAGATAACATCTGGATGTTAGGCCGCTCTTCATGGTTTTGTTTTTGTTCTTGCTTTAACTGGAAACCCAGGCCCTGAGCAAACAAAGTAACAACCATCTGCCTCTAGCCCCCAGAGTGGCTGGAGGCCACTTCACCATCATCAAAATTCCTCAAAGAGCGGGATGACCTGCTCTATTGCTGACCCATCAAAGGAAGACCATGGGTGCAGTGGACCAGCCAGAGACCTGCACAGAGCGGATCGTGGACCCCTCAACCCCAACTTCAGTCTGTAAGGTTTCTCACCCTTAATCCCTTAAACTGCCAGTTCTTGCTCCGCTCTTTGCAGTCATAAACAGCTACTTCCCTCACGATCCTGGTGTCAGTGATTGGCTGGCTGTGCACTAGGGAGAGGCCCCAGGTGTGGGGTCCTAGAGCAATCCATGCTGGGAATTACAGTGAAGGCAACAGCTGGAGGAAATATGTCACCACACCCTCTAACACTCCTCCCAAGGCCAGCAACCCCAAATTGCTACTGTAGTAAAGCCACAGTCCAGAACCAGTGCCACCGGAAAATATCCAGCACGGCTGATACCTGCATCCCCATGATCACCTCTAACTTTCATAACGTCGTAGCATCATGATGCTACAGCTGCCGTGGCTGACACTCCCCACTCCCATCATGTACCTGATGCCATGACACTTCTAAGACTTCCCTGAAAGAACAGAAGATGGTCAGTCACCAAGTTACTGGAAATCCCTATCCTTTCTTGGAAAATCTTGCCCAAAGCCTTACCTGCCGTGCCTGTAGACTACATGAAGGGATGACCCCGAACCTCGTGGGTTGCAGCTCACTCTAGAGCATGTCCATACTCCCTGTTGAGTGTGTACTTTGGCTTTGCTAATATTATTCCTCTGCTAACCTTTATCTGTGTCTTGTCCTCGAATTCTTCTGTGCATTGGAGAGAGAAGGAAGAGAAAGAAAGAGAGAGAGACAGAGAGAGAGAGAGAGAGAGAGACAGAGAGTGTTCCTCTGCACTTGAGGGGCTGGCCTGTGCCAAAGCTGGGATCCAAGAACTCACACTGGGTCTCGCCCCTTGGTGGCAGGAGCACAAGTGTTTGAACCATCACTTCTTTCCAGGGTCTGCATTAGCAGGAAGCTGGAGTCAGGAGCCGGAGCAAGGTATGGAACCCAGGCACTCTGATTTAGGACTGAAGCATCTTTTTCAACCGTTAGACCCAGTTTATCATACTTAAAACATCTACTTATTTTAATGTTGGATAGACAACTTGTGAGGTTCCACATGAAACTCCAGAGCACAGCTGGTTTTCAAGGCAGTGTGGGGAGGACATAAGGACAGAAAGCATGGAACAATGGAGTAGAATTGAGAGCTTAGAAACAAACCTTAATGTTCACAATCCACTGATCAGTGTGAAAGGGATACAGGGGCAGGTGCAGTGGCACAGCAGGTTAAGCTGCCACTTGGGACACCCGCATCAGTGCCTGGCTTGAGCCCTGGTACCCTGTAATTCTGATGCAGCTTCCTGCCAATTCATAGCCGAAGCAGTGGATCATGGCCTAGGTTCTTGGGTTCCTGCCACCCACGTGGAAGACCAGATGGAGCTCCTGGCCCCTAGTTTTGGCCTGGCCTATCCCTGGCTATTGAGGGCATTTGCAGAGTGAACCAGTGGATGGAAGATATTCTTTCTCTCTCTCTCTCTCTCTCTCTCTCCCTGCCTCTATCTATCTTCTTTCAAATAAATAAATCTTTGAAAAAAAAATCTACTTATTAACCTCATTCCCCAGTGTTTACAATAGACAATATCCAGTTGGATAACATTCTAATTACTAAAACATTCTTGTTTATCTTGGCTTCTGGTGAGCCAGTAACCCAGATACCAAAATGACTGAGTCTTCATGTGAGGAGTGAGTTGGGGAAAAGAAAAGCATTCAGATAACTGTTTAGATTCCAGAACTTGGTTCCTCCGTTTATGACAGCGAGTCCTGAACTGACAACACTGCTGACCATCTCATTAGGACTCTGTGAGCCAGGAACTGAGAAACCGTGACTCAGGGTCCCGTGAATCATGACCTTGTAGTCAATGCAGCACGCTGGCCTCAGCCTCCTGTGAAGGAATGCCCACCAGGGGAATCTGAATGTCCACTTGCCTAAGTGTTGCTCGGCTCATTAAAATGCTAAGTGGCCGGCGCTGCCGCTCACTAAACTAATCCTCTGCCTTGCAGCGCCAGCACACCGGGTTCTAGTCCCAGTCGGGGCTCCGGATTCTGTCCCGGTTGCCCCTCTTCCAGGCCAGCTCTCTGCTGTGGCCAGGGAGTGCAGTGGAGGATGGCCCAAGTGCTTGGGCCCTGCACCCCATGGGAGACCAGGATAAGCACCTGGCTCCTGCCATTGGATCAGTGCGGTGCGCCGGCCGCGGCGGCCATTGGAGGGTGAACCAACGGCAAAGGAAGACCTTTCTCTCTGTCTCTCTCTCTCACTGTCCACTCTTCCTGTCCAAAAATAAAGTAAATAAATAAATAAATAAATAAAATGCTAAGTAAGCCATTTTTCTAGTTTCCTCCTCTGAAGGGGGAGCTTTTTTGGTAGTGAGAAAGCTTTTTCTTTCAGGACTTTGACAAATGAACTCCCAGGCACATTAGCAGGGAGCTGGATGGGAAGTGGAACAGCCAGGACTTGAACATGTGCTCTAATACGGGATGCCGCGTGGCATGCGGGAGGCAGTTCAGCCCTTTGTGCCTCAGCATTGGCCCCAATAAGTCAATTCTGGCAGAAGAGGAAGTCAGACAGTATGCAAAGTACCAAGCACAGGGCCTAGCAGCAGCTGGGCACCCACAAAGTGGTTACCCTGGGGTGGGGCTGGGACTGTGGGATTCCCAGCCTTAGCTGCACCAAAGCTACAGTGCTGGGCTCAACCCCCAGAGTCTCATGGAGCTGGTCTGGGCTGTAGCCTAGATATAGGGATTCCTGAAAGCTTCCCAGCCTAGGTCAAGGTTGAGGGCCCCAGGCTAGACCAGGGCCTGCACTTTATCTCCCAGTTCCCACCCCCCAGATTCCAGCATCCAGCCTCAGAGCACCCCAGGGCAGCTGTCCCCTCAAGGTTGGGTCACACCCACCTCATTTGCTGGAATGCATTCCTTCTCTCAGCCTTTGGGAACGGACCTGTTCTCCAAAAAGCCAGAGGACTCCTCTCCAGGTAGAAGCTGACTCCGTGTTGACCTCCATTTTGTTCTCACGAATGCTGGGGCGGGGGGGGGGGGGGGCATACTGGTGCTTGTTCTTCTCTTTCTTTCCTTTCTTTGGACAGAAAAACAGATTTGTATGCTCCAAAGCTAACCCCGTGGAGGAGCCCAAGTATAACCGAATGTTTGAGAAAAGTCAGTTTTCCCCTAAGCCAGCCAGAGACTCCCTAGGGCTTGAGAAGGTGCACATGAAAAGGGTGAGGTGCTGGGGCCAGCGCTGTGGTGTAGCGGGTAAAGCCATTGCCTGCAGTGCCAGCATCCCATATGGGCGCCGGTTCGAGTCCCAGCTGCTCCACTTCCGATCCAGCTCTCCGCTATGACCTGGGAAAGCAGTGGAAGATGGCCCAAGTCCTTGGGCCCCTGCACCCATGTGGGAGACCCGGAAGAAGCTCCTGGCTCCTGGGTTCGGATCAGCCCAGCTCCAGCAGGTAAAGCCAACTGCGGAGTGAACCAGTGATGGAAGACTCTCTCTCTCTCTCTCTCTCTCCACCTCTCTTTCTCTGTGTAACTAACTTTCAAATAAATAAATAAATCTTAAAAAAAAAAAAAAGAGGGGGGTGAGGTGCTGGCAGGCTATGCAGGGTGAACCAGGCAGGATGTTTTAGGCTGCAAGTACAACAGTACCCTTTATCCGAAGGGAAAATGTTCCAGGATGCCCTTAGGTGTCTGAAACTGTGGCTAGTACAGAACGCTTTATACAAGCATACTTCAAAAAGTTCTTGGAAAATAGAATTAACAGCTAAGCTTATTTTGGTGCAAAAAAAAAAAATGCATGAAATCTATGCATACAAGGGGGTGTTCAAAAGGTTTGTGGAAAATGCATATGATGAAAAAGTATGCATGGATTTAAAATTGTCTAGCATCAAAATGAGTTTTTACCTTTTTAAAAAATTTAGTTATTTGAAAGGCAGAGCTACAGAAAGAGAGGGAGAGACACAGAGAGATCTTCCAGCCGCTATTTCACTTGCTAAATGGCTGCAATGGCTGGGGTTGGTCCAGGCAGAAGCCAGGAATCTGGAACTCCATCTGGGTCTCCCACATGGGTGGTAGGGGCCCAAGCTCTTGGGCCATCTGCTTCCTTCCCAGGTGCATTTGCAGGGAGCTGGATTAGAAGTAGAGCAGCTGGGACTCGAACTGGTGCTCATAAGGGGTGAGCTGCATTGCAGACAGCAGCTTAACCTGCAGTGCCACAACACTGGGCCCTTCCACATAGTTCTTTTTAAGGTGTCCTTGTGTATCTTTTTTCCTATATATATGTACCTATGATGCAGCCGATTTATAAACTAGGCACAGTAGATATTAACACCAGTAGCTAATAATAAACTGGACAGTGCTTTCTGGCACAACACGTTGCCACCCACTAGAACGTGTTTTCTGTTCTTCCACCAACAGTGCCAAGTGTTTCTTGTGTGTCTGCAGATTGGCAGGGCCTGGGTGGGCCCTTCAATTCAATCTGTGTCTGCCGGCACCCGTTCCCTCTGGGTCCCAAAGCAAGACTGCAGCAGGCCCCAGGGGAGTGCTCATTCCATAGCAATGGAGAGGGAACCACAGAGCAGAGACACGCAAGGCCTTGGCCCCTTGTCACTTTGCCCCCTTTGCTTTAGCCAAATCGTCACATGTCTCAGTCCAGCATCAGTGGGAGGGGTGCGGAGGCACATGGCAGAGGGCGTGGCAGGTTATAGACAACCTGCAAAGGGAAAGCAAACAGACAGATTAGCTGAAAGTATTTTACTATTTAATATTGAATTTAAAATATTTTTTACTTCCTTTTTGACCCATGGGTTACTTAGACATGAATTATTTAACTTCTGTGTCTTTGGGGGAATTCCTGTTGCTAATTTCTAGTTTAATTCTCTTATGATCAGAGAACGTACTTTGTATCAATGTTTTATTTAAAAGTGAGGGACTATTGTTAGAAGTTACTAATTTATTTTTATTTTATTTGAGAGACAAAGAGAGATCTCTCATCTGCTTTTGCTCCCTAAATGCCTACAACAGCCAGGCCTGGGTCAGATTGAAGTGAGGGTCTCAGAACTCAATTTCGGTCTCCCCGCGTGGGGGTCAGGAGCCCCAGGACTTGAGCCGTCATCTGCTGCCTCTCGCAGTGCACATTAGCGGGCAGTGGATAAGAAGCAGAGTAGCCTGGACTTGAACCAGGTTCTCCAATGTGGGGTGTGGTGTACCAAAGGACAGCGTAACCACGACAGCACCCACTCTTTTGGGAATGCTCAGAGACATCCCTCCATTTCAGAAGACATGAATTCATTTTGCTTTTTCAAAATGTTATTTATTTTTTGGAAAGAGAGGCAAACAGAAAGGGATCCTCCATCTGCTGGTTCACTCCCCAGGCGCCTGCAATAGCAGGCACTGGGCCGGTCTGAAGCCAGGAGCCAGGAATTCAATCCAGGTCTCCTATGTATGTGGCTGGGACTCAACTACCCAGAACATCACCAGCTGTTTCTCAGGTAGAAGATAGCAGGAAGCTGGATCAGAAACAGAGCCAGGACTTGAACCCAGGCTCTCTGATATATGGGCGTCCCAAGGGTCATCTTAACCACCCAACAGCCACCTCCTTAATTTACCTTTCAACAGAGCTGCATAATAGTTCATAGACATAAAAGTACCACAGTGTCTTTTTTTTTTTTTTTTTTTTGACAGGCAGAG